GTTTCAACCACTGCTATTCTTACTACTCAATGCCCATTGGAAGCAGCAGTCAAGAAATCAAACAACATATTGCGTTGGGCAGATCTACTGCAGAAGAACTTTTTAAAGTGTTAAAGAGCAAAGATGTCACTTTGAAGACTAAGGTGTAGCTGACACAAGTCATGGTAATTTTCAGTAGCCTCATATGCATGTGAGAGCTTGTCAGTAAATAAGGAAGACTCAAGAAGAATTGATGCATTTGAATTGTGGAGTTGGTGAAGAATACTGAATGCATCATGGACTGCTAGAAGAATGAACAAATCTGTGTTGGAGGAAATACAGCTGCAGTGCTCCTTAGAAGTGAGAATGGCCAGACTTCATCTCTCATACTTTGGTCATGTTCTCCCTGTAGAAGGATATATTCTTGGTAAAGGGTTAGCAAAAAAGGAGAAGGTCCTCAACAAGATGGATCGACACAGTAGCTATGACGATGTCAAGCCCATGCCTGGCAACGATTGTGAGGACGGCACAAGATAGGGCAGTGTTTTGTTCTGTTGCACGTAGGGTTGCTAAAAATCAGAACTAACTCAACAGCACCTAACAACAACAACTCTTAATACTCAGGTGTCAATATTGAATACCTTTCTCCACCAAAGTGTCCCCATATGCCATGGGGAGTGTTACAGATTGAACTGTGTTCCCCAAAAAATGTGTTGTAAATCCTAACCTCTAAACCTGTGATTATAATCTCATTTGGGAATTGGTTGTCTTTGTTATGTCAATGAGCTAGGATTAGGGTAGGGTATATTTTGAGTCATTCTCCTTTGAAATATATAATAGAGATTAAAAGCATGTTAACAAGCAGAGATGAGGGAAGAGAGATGCCACATGAAGATTGCCTAGGAGCAGAAGCTCAGAAGAGAAAATAACCTTCCTCCAGAGCCCACACAGAAAGCAAGCCTTCCCCTAAAGCCAATACCCTGAAATTGGAATTACAGCTTCCTAAACTGTGAGAAAATAAACTTCTGTTTGTTCAAGACACTCACTTGGGTATTTCTGTTATAGTAGAACTAGACAATTAAGACAGGGAGGGAGAGTCTCCCCAGGCAATCAAGTGCAAAGCAAACCAGCACCTTTGATTCCTTCTCTTGAGTATACTCTGAAAGAACTTGAGAAATGATGAAATCCTCCCTTGCACATTTTTAAGCAGATCTCTAAAATTTTTCCATCATGAATTTAGCAAGGAGGTAATTTCTGGCACATTTTAAGCATTGTTTTTTAATGTTACATCACTATTTAAAATATATCCAATGTTCTAATTGCCATAATGATTTGACACCCATCATCATCCATAAATACATGGAATTTCTCATCTTTCCCTTTCCTTCTTAAACTCATCCTTCCATTGCACCTCTCCTGCAAACTGTATCTTTTTATTTGAAATTTTTATATTTAGTACCCTATCATACTTCTCTATAAAGATTATAAACTGAATTTTTAAACTCTTGTCACTGTAAAGCTCTAAATGTTAAAAAAAATTATTTGAACTGGGTGATCATCACAATTACTATTAGTACATCATTGATTAAAACATAAATGTGTTTGATCGATATTAGATATAAAAGGAAATCTTAATCCAAACGTTATCTCCTAACTCAGTGTGGGTCTAGGATCTTCTTCCATCCCCTCAATCAGTCCACGTATTTATGGATGAATGATTATAGGGTTATATAAATAAAATAGGGCCACCAGCAAATCTATTCTTTTTTTAAAAACTGTAAGCACTGAAGTACGTTTTTTCTACAAAAAAAGTGGAAGATGACAGAAGTTTTAGTATACTTTCTCAGTGATTGATAAACCCTGCATTCAAGTTGGTGGTTACCACACAGGGCAGAGATGGGGTATGAGACTGGGGAACAGCTGTCAGAGGGCTTCTATAACTAATGGCCACATTCTATTGCCTAATCTGGGTGGTAGATATAAAGATTTGTTGTATTGTTTTTCACTATATCCTATATACAATTCAGAAGTAATCTTTATCACTATTTCATTTTTAAATAAACCAAAAACCAAACCAAACCCACTGTCATCGAGTCAATTCTGACTCATAGATTAGAATTGTCCCATAAGGTTCCTGAGGCTATAAATCTTTAGGGAAGCAGACTGCCTCATCTCTCTCCCTCGGAGTGGCTGGTGGGTTGAAACCTTTTGAGTTAACAGCCCAATGCTTTAACCACAATGCCACCAAAGCTCCATTTTAAAATGAAAGAGGAAAGAAATACCATCAAAAACACAAACAGGTGACCAGTATTTATCTTTCAATCAAGCTAAGTAAAAGTAAGGCTTATAGAGCTTCTTTTTGAAGACATTATTTTACTCCCTTGCCTCCAGTGAATTATTATTATCTGCGAGGCAGCTCAGGACTGCAGATTCGTTTGCTAGGTTTCCTTCAGCAAAGACATCATAACTTCCCTCTAGACCTACTACATAGACACTTGATTGGTGTGTATTAATTTCCTACAAACAGCAAGGATATTTATTGAGCAACAATTTATTAAGCACTCACAGTGCCTAAGGCATTTGACTGCTAACCAGGTTGGCAGTTCAAACCTACCAGCTCCTCCACGGAAAATGAGGCAGTCTACTTTTCTACTTCTGTAAAGATTTACTGCCCTGGAAACCCAAAGGGGTTGCTATGATTCATAATTCACTTGAGGGCAGTGGGTTTGGTTTGTTTTGGTTTAAGTATGTACCAGGCACTGTTCTAAACACTCAGGATTCAGCTGTGTCCCTGCCTTTGTGTTTACCTCTTAGTGGCAGAAGACAGACAATAAGCAAGTAAACATATTGTCAATGGTGATAATGCCACGGAAGGAAGACAAGAGAGAAAAGGGGTGAGAGGTACAGTATGTGTGTGTGTGTGTGTGTGTGTAAGATGGTACCATCTTGAATAAACCAGTGGAGGTGGCTCAATAATAACATAACATTTGGTCAGAAGGCAAAGTAGTTCATACATGTATCAGAAGAAGGGCATTCTAACACAAGAAAACAGTGGTTGCAAAGACCCTGGGGCAGAAGCATAGCCTGGTGTGTGACAGGAACAGCAAGACTAATTGGATATGCACAATGTGAACGAGGGTGAGAGGGGTAGATGATTCACAGGAAAAAGAGGTTGGTGCCACAGATGATGCTCAGCTTTACAGTCCACTATGAGGACCTCACCTTGAACTCTGAATGACAAGTGAAGGAGCCATAGTGTGCAATTACATTGGAAGGCTGAGGGGCCCCTCACTGAAAACTGCAAAATTTTCACAGGCTAGCAGTCATGATTAAAGTGGATATTAATTATAGGGACTAACATGCTATTTTTCCCTCCCTTTTGCTTCCTTTGAAGTAAACAGAATAGCCAGCCCTTTTTACAGACAATGGATTCTTTAGATTTGCTGTTTTCAATTGTGTATTCTTTTAAGGCTAACCCTCTCTCATAACTGGTCTTGGTTAAGAACCATAACCTATGGAGCAAGATAACCCTGGGAAGAGGGACGCTAAGTGTGGAGTAACCAAAAAGAGAACAAAGGCATTCCTGGTCATCCAAGAAATCGTCAACCCCCTTCCCATTTTCATATATAATTGTTTATCCCTTTGCTCGAGGAGACAGGCATTTTGGAGAAATGATTCTATCTCCTTGGGTATCTATACTCAATAAACCTTTTGCTTTCCCTCTTCAATCTAGAGTGATCATTGGCTCTTCACAACAGGGGGTAAGGACCTTGTTTTCCTACAATAGCAAAGTTCTGATCAGAAATGGTAAGAGTGTTAGTACTGAAGAAACAGAGCTTAGGACTGCCACTGATCACTGCTCAATCTTTACTTTTTCTGTTCTTAGTCTCTGTTTGTATTTAATGATGACTTGGTTATTGCCTGTGGTCTCTGCAGACTGAGACCACATTTAACCCTGTTTCACTGTGTTCATTCAATTAGGAGGAAAGTATTTTACCTACCCCCCCAATATACACACACACATTCCAAGAAGCTCTGGTGGTGCAGTGGTTAAGTGCTCAGCTGCCAATTGAAAGGTAGGTGGTTCAAATCCAACAGCTGCTCTGCGGGGAAAGATGTGGCGGTCTGCTTCTGTTAAAACTTACAGCCTTGGAAACCGTATGGTGCAGTTCTACTCTATTCTATGTGGTCGCTATGAGTTAGAACTGACTTACAAGCAATGGGTCTTTTTTGTTGTTGTTTGTTTCTATACATTCCAGCATCCCATATACATGTTTAAGTCATCTGTTACCTACTTATACACACACCCATGCTCCCCATTAAGCTGTAACTTTTTTAGGACAAAGAAATAAAGGCACAAGTCTTTAAGGCGTCCACAATTAGTTTTTATTAACTAGCAGCCCACCTCATGGGAGAGACACAGTTAATTGAGAGCACCCGATCACCATGTTTTTCCTGCTTGCACGGCTTACACCATTGCTCACCGGGGTTAGGAGAATCTGCAGCGATCCTTCAGGACCTCATTTTTTTCAGGTACAGAGAGCTCCGTGGGAGGAAAGGTCAGCACTGAAGGTTCCCTTCCTCTTCACACAGGATGGGACACACAATCCAAATGATGGAATGACCTGCAGCCAGCCCATTGCATCACAGAGTAGGGAAGAGTCCTGAGTGGTCCTGGAGGCCCGGGCATGTTGGGGCTCCTCTACCAGCCAAGCCACTGGATCATGCCCTGCCTGCCCTCCCACAGTGGTCAATCCCTAGTTTGACTGTAAACTTTCCCTCAGTCAGTGTTACACATCACAATGCAATCTGACACCTTCTGATTAAAGGGGCTCTATGAGCTTCAGCTGCAGGGGTGCAAGGATTGAGTGTCTGAAATGGAAGGTCAGGGGCTACCACATAGCACATCGCCCTCTGTTCCCCTCCTCCCTAAATCAGACTCACTGGCCCAGCAGGCACTTGTGACCTTGTAGAGCTGTTTCACCTTGGGGTGCAAGGGGCCCTCAAGCAGGACACCTGGACTAGGAATGGACTCCCCTGCTCATGGGTCGTTTCTCTGTGAAGAAGCTTTTTAGCAGCAGCACCTGGCTGAAGCTGACCACAAACAGGGCAATCGTCTCGCTGACAGACCAGTAGAAGACTCGGCTATTCAGATCTTCGGCCCGAGCCCGGTCCTGGGCCTCTCGAAGCCGGTAATGGGTCTGGGAATCAATCACAGTCTTCAGAGCCTCATGGATGGTCACGCAGGCAGACTCCATCTGAGCAGGAAGAGAAAAGCACTCACGTTTTCAACCCTGCACAACAAAGAGTGGAACCAAACATATGGCAAATTGTAGATGGTAATTCCTGAATGCTGACTTATAGGCTTGTGCTACAGGTTTTATGTGATTTTATTTAATCCTCATACTATAAGCCTACAGTTGTCAGGAAATTGGTTTTGACTCATAGCAATTCAGTATGTCAGAGCAGAAATGCCCATTAGGGTTTCCAGGGCTGTAATCTTTATGGAAGCAGACTGCCACAACTTTCTCCCTCAGAGCTGCTGGTGGGTTCAAACTGCTGAACTTTCAGTTAACAGCCATGTGCTTAATCACTGTGCCATCAGGACTCCTATAAGCCCAGTGAAATTATTATTCTCTTTCAACAGATGAAGAAATCAAGGCTCAGAGAGGCTAAGTAACTTGCCCAAGATCACACAGTTAATAGGTGGCAGAGTCAGGATTTACACTGCCTTGAAATTCTTTTAAGGCTTTGGTGGTGCAGTGCCTAATGCATTTGACTGCTAACCAGAAGGTTGACCGTTTAAACCTACCAGCTGCTCCGTGGAAGGGAGATGGGGCAATCTACTTCCATAAAGATTTACTACCTCGTAAACCCAATGGAGATCGCTGTGAGTCAAGTTCAGACTTGACTGGATGGCAGTGAGTTTCATTTTATTTTGGTTTTAAGGTTCTCTTATTTAAACCTCACAATACCCCCAATAGGCAGAGATTCTTATCCTCATTGATAGGTGGAGCTGACTAATTACTTACCCCATATACTGATGAGGAAATTGGAGGTTCAAAGACCCTAAGTGACTTGTCCAAGGTCACACAGCTAATAAATACCAGAGTGTGAATTAGATCACAATTATCTTAGACTCTGTATCTATGGCTCATTCTATTAAATATATTATTATTATTATATATAATATATATTATTTATAATATTATATATTACACTCTGGTAACATAGTGCCTAAAGCACCTGACTGCTAACCAGAAGGCTGATGGTTCAAACCCACCAGCCACTCCTTGGAAGGAAG